TCAGATGTTGCCCAAGGCCATAGGGACATTTCCAATTTTTTTCTTTTATTCAGAGAGTGGGAAAGCTTCTTTTCCGGGCACTGCCTGATACTACAGCAGGGCAGGGGGCCAGTTCTATCCCTCCCCCTCCCCTTTAGCTAGCTAGCAGGCACTTGAGCAAGCTAATTTGGACCAATTGCCTACTCTTAAAACACTCCAGCCTCTTGTGATCCTTGCAGCAGGGCTCATGTGCAGGAAGCTGGTAATCTCCTCCTTTCAATTTATCACTAAAATGTCCATCAAACTCCCCAAGGGACCCTGGTTGCTAATTTACAAATACTCTTTTCCAACTTCTCTTCACAGATAGGAAGAGAACTGGTAGGCATTACCTTAATAGCCCCGAGAATTGGAAGAATTAGAGGACAAATGAATCTGTTACCCTTATCAGAAGCAGCATGAAGGACAGGTGGGAAAATGGTGGAGGTGGACGTTTCAGCTATTTATATTTAGAATAGAATAGAATAGAATAGAATAGAATAGAATAGAATAGAATTCTTTATTGGCCAATGTGATTGGACACACAAGGAAATTGTCTTGGTGCATATGCTCTCAGTGTACATAAAAGAAAAGATACATTCATCAAGAATCAAGAATCATAAGGTACAACACTTAATAATAGTCATAGGGTACAATATGCTACCAAAGGTGATAAGAATGAAAACAGTTCAATGGGGAAAAAAATTAACAGTCTTCATTAGCAGTTCTTGTTATTAAAGCAGTGTTTCTCAGCCTCTGCCTCTTTAAGATATGTGGACCAATTCCCAGAATTCCCAGTCAGAAACACTTCATGAGGAATAACAGAGAGATTATGAAATATAAGCACAATATAATTAGGGACACTGCTTCCAAAGGTAGCAGCATTTAGCTGATCTTGACTATCACGGAAATTACCGTAATGGGAATTCACCCACACCCACACCCCATGATAATGGTTGAGATACCTTGGAAATTCTAGAATTGTTGACTAGAGTATGATGTCAAGAGAGCATTTCAGAAATAAACAGTAGCAAACCACTTCCATAATGTACCAAAAAAGTGCATAAATGCAGTCTCAGGACCAGAATGTCCCACTAGTACCACCTTCTAGATCTAGAAAATTATCAATTAACACTTCAATTTTTCATGGAGGCAGGCTGACAGAAGAATATTTTTGCAATTAGTAGCTAATGATCAGTAAGGATGATCCTCAGTCTCGGTAGTGATAAAATAGAGGAGCCAATAGAATGAGTCAGGGGAAAAAAAATACCCTCCCCTTCTGTGAATAATTTATCACAATCCCACAACACATGACTGATAGTTTCCACAATGCCACAATCAAGGTGTGGAGTATCTGTCTTCCCAATAATAAACAACTTGTCCTTTGCTCAGACAACACCCTCAGGAGGGAAACTTGGCGAGCTCTACTAAGAGCATCAAAACACCAAAAGTCACTAAGCTGCTGATAATAAACTCCTTCTGACCAGCAACATCAACCACGAGTTCCCAGAGTCAGATAAATCTTTGCTGCCCTCCGATGGAGTGATAACCACCAATTTAACTCGGTGCTTTATTCTCAGCTACTATATATTTTAATATTGGCGTTGTCTTTTTAAATTTTTTACATTTTATTCAACCATCCACAGTCACTTGGTGAAATGGGTTCAATGAAATTCGAAATAAATAAGTGTGAATAGTTTTAAATGGTGCTAGAGAAATTCCTAAAGCAGCATGCTGTACAGCTGTGATTCAATCTACTGTTTCTGTGTTGCAACATCTGATTTTGTTCTCTCTTTGGACTTGAACTGAACATCCTTTCAACAAAGAAGGATTCATTACATAAAAAAGAACTTCTAGCAAGGTCAGACCGATCCATATATTCTAATAGACAGAGATTGTTTCAGCACACAATTTCTGTGAGGTAAAGAGACTGTAACATCGTTCTGAGAGGGCAGGAAAATCCATCTGTTTTGAACTGGGGGATTTAATTATCATGCATACCTTTAAAAAAATGTAGCAAAGTTCTCAAAACTAGCCCATTCACTCAGAGTTGGTTCCGTTCATGACTTGCAGTATAGTTATGCTACCCTCTACTACGATGGCAGGGACTCCCTAAGTTTTTATGAACTAGTATTTTCAAAAAGTGGTGTTATTGTGGGTTCTTTCTGGCAGATGGTGCCAGGACCAGCTAGAGCAGGGGTGTCAAACTCATGTTGTCACGGTGGCGTCACATGACATATCAGGATTTCCTGCTTTGCTAAACCGGGCGGGGGCAGGGCCAGCACATGAGGCATCTGGCCCACAGGCCGCTAGTTTGACACCCCTGAGCTAGAGGATAAATAAGTCACTTGAAGTACAAATATACTTAAGATAAATAATCCTATTTTAAATATTTGTATTTTTAAAGGTTTGTTTTGTATTCTTATTCCCACAAATCATTTTTAATTTTGTGGGGTCCTCGGTGCCCTCTGACCTTGGTTGTTTTCTTGCAGACATTTCAATACTCAAACTAGATAACATCATCAGTGATGTTACCTAGTTTGGGTAATGAAACATCTGCAAGAACTCTCCAATTTTATTTTATCATTCTGTAGTCTATCCAATACTCAATAGTGTTGGAATGTTAAAAAATTATAAAGCTATACGGTGAGACAACATAATGGAAAAATAGTAGAATATGCATGTGATTGTTTATAGAAGGGCTATGGAACTTGTTTAATATGTTTGTGGAGACTGGATCTGTCTGACAATTGGATGCATGCCATTATTATTCCCCTATGTAAAAGACAAAGTAGCATGAGTGAATACTCCAGTTTGGGTCATATTTCTTTTTTTTCTTTTGTCATGCTTAAATTCTCTAAATAGTTTAGCCTTTCAATATTGATCTTGTTCTCAGATTGATACATTTTAGGAAATGCAGCCTACAATATAAATGATTTAGAAGGAAGTTTTATTCATTGTACTTTATAGGTGCCCATTACATATACTTACCCACACCAACAACCTGCTCGATATGATTTTGAGAGTTACTGTTGTGCATCCTTTTCTTCATTCTTGCTGGGTTTGTACAACAGTGTCATCAGGTCAATCACCTCTACCTCTGGTGTATTACCTGAAATCAGATCATGTATGTCCTGCAAACAGATTCTGTAAACCATGGGTAAAATATCTACAGATAAGTGTCACAGAAGTACGACTTCAAAATATACTGCAGACTCTAAGTCTTGTTTAAGTTGGCTTTAAAATTCACTGGAATTTCCATCCATCACTATTTTAATTTTACTAGTGAAAAAATGAGTGTATTGTCCTATGCTTCATTGGTGGGTATCTTAAATCAATCTCTTGGTCATCACTTTTCAAGATTGTTTATGTGCTCTTAAGGACTAGACTTCAAGCCATATAAGGACTAGAGTTGATATGATAGCAGTCTTCCAACATGTGAGAGGATATTACAGAGAAGAGGGTGTCAATTTATTTGCCAAGGCACCTAAGGGCAAGATAAGAAATAATGGTTGAATCTCAAGTAGAGACCCAACTCAGAACTAAGGAGAAATTTCCTGACAGAACAATTAACCAGCTTTGCCTTCAAAAGTTGTTGGTGCTCCATCACTGAAGGTTTTTAAGAAGAGACTGGACAACCATTCGTCTGAAATTGTATAGGATCTCCTGCCTGAACAGGAAGTTAGACTAAAAGACTTCCAAGGTCCCTTCCAACTCTGTTATTCTGTATTGGGGCAAAATACGAAAATGTAATTCTCAGCATAGAGGTGCCTACAACCTGTGCCAATCCTTTTGACTCTTGATAATGGATTTCTCCAGGGAACTGGAGTTTCAGTCCCACTGAGACGAGGAAACCAAGCTTTCCTTCTCCTGTCGCTAGCAAAGTGCAAAACGCAAATCCAGTTTAATCCAACGTGTATGTGGTGGGGTTCAAGTTTTTTTATACCGGTTCTGTGGGCGTGACTTGGTGGGCATGGCCAGGGAAGGATACTGTAAAATCTCCATTCAGAGGTGGTATTTGCAAGTTTTCCGAACTACTCAACCTTTCCGCTACCGGTTCTCCAGAACTCGTCAGAACCTGCTGAATGCCACCTCTGGTCCAGGTCATGGTTGTCCCAAAGGTGCTTTACTGAGCAACTGTGGTATATGCAGTACAATTCAGTGACCCTTGTGCAGATCTGTACATTGGGGAAACAAAACAACCACTTCATAAATGCATAGCACAACATAGGAGAATAAAACCACGAGGACTAGATTCAGCAGTCCATCTGCATTTAAAAGACGAAGGCCACTCTTTTGAAGACAGCAGAGTCCACATTTTGGACAGAGAGGACCGCTGGTTTGAAAGAGGGGTCAAAGAAGCCATCTATGCCAAAATTGAACAGCCCCCTCTCAACAGAGGGTGAGGGATATGACGTCATCTATCTTCAGTCTACAACACAGTCCTTTCAACAGTTCCAAGAAGGCTCCGCAGTCCACACCCACCACTCAGGTGACCCTGAGGACGCAGATAAACCTCCAGGTGGCGTTAAGGACTCGCTAAAAGAATGCAAATGATCAGCTGCCCGCAAGGCACATAAATCCTTCCATTCCCCACTATTGAATCAGAGATGAAGAAGCTTCTTGGAGGAGAAGCGAAACGTCTTCAAAGAAAAACCAGAAAGTCCAGCTGCCTCTTGAAAAAAAGCACCCAAAAGGAATCCAAACGTGTAGTTTTCTCCTCCTACCACTAGGAGATGCTGTGGTGGGAGGGAAGACACCGTCACTTCAGGAGGAGGAGGAGGAAGAAGGCCGCGCACCTGGAGAAGGAAAAGGGATCGTCACGCGCCCAACCGCAGGCCTAATTTCGGTCGCGGGAAGAGCCAAGGCTCGGGAATGGAGAGTTGAGATCACGCGACCTCTCGACCCGTCCAATAGAATCGCGTAAGCCTGTTAGCGGGCGACCTTGTCACGTGATCAGGATTCCTCCTTTTTTCCCGTCTTCCGGGAAGGCGGATGCAGTGATAAAGTGACAACAACGCTCACTTCCGCTTGGTTAAGAAAAGAGAGAGAGAGAGAGAGAGAGGGGAGGGAGGAACAAGCGAGATCAAGCAAGGATCGGCGGCTGTTCTCGCCGTGGTGGTCACCTTCTGTCGTCAAGCTCCCTCAGCGCGGCCCAGGTAAGTCGATGCGGGCCTGGGCTGCCCTTTTTCCTTCTTCCTCTCTCGGGTTTGGGCTCAACTAGGGGCGGGCGGAGGGAGGGAGGAGGAGGCCTCGCTCTCCTTTTCGCCCTTTTTGGCCTCTGGTGCGGCGGGGCTTCCTCTAAACGGACAGTTTGCCGATTCTTCTTCCCCTCTGGGTTCTCGCGGAAGCGGCCGTGGGGGGTTTCCCGAGGGGTGGGGTGGGTTTCCCGCGGGCTTTGGCTTCAGGTGAGTTGCAGCGTTGGAGCGGCTCCCGAAAGGCTGGTCATAGTTCAAGGATCGAAGAGCTTCTTGGTCCGCGCCTGGCTAGCAAACTTTCGGTTTCAGTCCGGGCTGCTTGACCCGTAACGTGGGAAGGAAGCTGTGAGGAGGGCGATGGTTTTTGCTGGTTAGATGTACCGGCTCATATAAACCTAAGCTTTTATGGTTAGGCTTTCGCAGCAGTGACTGGGTTCATGCACTCATCCTACGCTTTTTAATACGTTGCTGCTGTGGTGCATAGGTAACTGGGATATTGCACTTTGTAAGCCAGAGGTCTCCAAACCTGGCCCCTTTAAGACTTGTGGACTTCAATTCCCAGAATTCTCCAGCCAGCAAAGCTGGCTGGAGAATTCTGGGAGTTGAAGTCCACAAGTCTTAAAGGGGCCAGGTTTGGGGAACCCCTGTTACAAGCTATGAAGGCTCAATTAATGGAAGTGGCGCCCAAACGCTTCCTTTGTGCTGCCTTTAAGCACTTTGAGATGCCTGGTTCTGTGCAACATCACTTTCCTTTGATTCTGGGGTTTAAAAATGTAAAGTCTTTTACCATTTGTGCTGAAAATATAAGTCTTTCGCTGTTCGGAGGCCCAGTAATCTCATTCAAGATTCTTAAAGAGCCCTCTAAAAGATGCTCATCTAAATAGTGGGTATTTATGATGTCCTCAGTAAAGGAAATAAATTATATCTGGGAATTTCCTGATGATGTGTCAAAGATGACAAAATCATGGAACACCACCACTCGCAGAACACAAAACCACATTCCTGAAGTTTTGAGTATTAGGCAAAGGTACCTTGCCATTCTGAGCAGTACGGATTAGGGAAAAAAAAAATTGGATGGAAAATGGAACATTGTTAGCATGGATCAAGAAGAGAAAATGTTGCCAAGTGTAATTTAATGCTCCATAAAATCAGGATTATTTGACTGGGTTCACACCATGTACAATATTGTTTGTTATGCAGTGTATTGTACAAATCCAGGGTATTGGGCAAATTCAGTAAATTATGATTCTCTTAACTTGGATAGAGTATTGTGCAAATATGGTCTTCCTGTTAGCAAAAGTATCTTTTAAAGTTCTGGCTACAGTTGAAAGTGATTTACTAAACTATGTTCAAATTAGGTATTTTAGTAAGAAAGGTGGATTTTAGATTTGAATTATAGGGCTATATAAATATATTTGGACTACAAAATTCCAGATGGCTGCTAAATAGCAGAGATTATTCTATATCTCTCCTATATCTTGTAATTGTCTGGATATTTAAAACCAAGCTTTAACAGCTCTCCGGTGACGTTCAGAGAGCAATTATTTGTCACATTCTTCTGTTGTATTTTAAAAAGAGCAGGTTTCTTTTGTAAGAGTAAACCTAGTTCTGAGTAGGCTGAGAAAATGGGACATATACACATTTTCAAGAGACTGAACCACCTGGTATTTCTACATTATATGTTTGAGTTCTTTAGAGAAGGAGTGTATTTTAGAATCAGAGTTGGAAGAGACCATCAGATCTGCCCACTTGAGAGACCTTCACTCTTCTGGGCAACTTTATTGAGTTATTCTTACTATTAGAAAAGGGGTTTTTTTTTTGGTCTGACATTCAATTGGAATCACTGTTCTGTGACTTAAATCCACTTTTCTCTATTCTTTAGTTTGGAATGAAAGTGAACAAATCTTGACTTTCTCAGTGAAATCCTGCCAGGAATGTAAGAGTGCCATCCTCCTCAATTGCCTTTTTGCAACACTAAAGATGGTATACCAGCTTCTTCCACCTCTTTTTACAGGGTTTAGCTCTACTCCTTTAATAATCATTGTTCTCTGCCTGAACCTGTTTCAATTTCTTTGAAATCTTTTTAAAGTGTCATTCCCAGAGACAAATAAACTAGACTATTAGCCTCCAGTGATTTTTGAAATTATCATCAGCATCTTTGGTTCCTTTCACATAAAGCAATTATACTTAAGTTGAAACAGCCTAAAACTGCTTGCCAAGAACTACTGGAACTTTATTGTAGGATAAATTACACATGGTCCTCAGTTACTTGACTACTCGTTCACAATTGTTCAAACTTATAATGGAGATATAAACAATTGGTACTTACAACTCATTCTTGAAGTTCCAGAAGTTCCACAAAGATTCTAGACTAATTCCCCATTTGTCTTCTTCCCCCCTCGGCCAGTCTCCCTCCTAAATGTCATGGTCACATGAGCTTTTTTAACAAGTTGCAGTGATTTGTTTAACATCAGTAATGAGGAACAGCCGTTGCCAAGTGATGCAGTCACACAATGTGCTTTATATCTGCATTGCTTAAATTCTGATTGCAATTATTATTAGGTGAGGATTATGTGCATTGGAATCTTGAAAGCTTCACAGAATTTGTTTCTCATCCCCTCCTCTTTTTCATGGCTGAGTGCTGTTCACATAACTTCTCTTGCATTTCTTCTTCAGGGTTATCTTCATGCTCTTCTATAATTATTGAACTGTTCTTATTATTGGAGATACCAGAAATTGTCTTTCTATAACTAAAAACATTTATTCTGTGACTTTCACAGAAATATTGTTCTTTTGTGTGATACTCAAGTGCTTGAAAAGTGTTATAATATCTCCCCTAAGCCATTTGTTTTAAATTCTAAGCATATACCCGGTTTTTTAGGTTAGATTAACAGAGTTAGAAGGGACCTTGTAGGTCATCTAGTCCAACCCCCTTGCCCAAGCAGGAGACCCTACACCATTTTTGACAGATGGCAGTCCAATCTCTCTTTGAAAGATGCTCTCACAACTTCCGAAGACAAGCTGTTCCATTGGTTGATTGTTCTCACTGTCAGAAAAGTTATTTCAGCCTCTTCTGATAAGTGATCCTTTCATTAAACACATAGTTTCTGGCAATGGTGGGATTCAAATTTAACAATCTGTTCACCCAGGGTCAGATTGGCTGTTATGGGAGGCATGGCCCATCTCTATCCTCCAGTTCCGTCGCACATGCAGGACAACGCTCCCATGATGGCCAACTGACCCTGGGTCAACCAGCTGTTAAATTATCCTCCACCACCACCACTATCAAAGTGGATCCTGGGCACTGTGCTGTGCTGCAATGGAGAAACGGGCCTGAGGGAAGGAGAAGGCCACTTTACCTCTTCCTTCTCCCTGCTCCTCTCCTTCCCTCAGGCCGGCTGCTTCGTTGCCCGTTTCTCCATTGCAGCACAGTGCAGTGCCCAGGATATACTTTGATAGCGAGGGTGGGGGGGTAATTTAACAACCAATTTGCCTGAACTGCTGTGAACCAACTGAATCCCACCACTGGTTTCTGGATACTGTATTTTTTGCACTACAAGACGCTCTGGAACATAAGACGCACCTAGCTTTTGAGGAGGAAAGCACAAAAAATCTGCCTCTGCCTCCCAGTATCCATCCAGTATGCATCTGGCTTGTGTCCTTGCAGCAAACAGCCTTCAGCATGTTATTGGAGCCCCAGCATGTGGCTCCTCAGGCCTCCACTCTGTTGCACCCACCACCAGTGAACTGAGCTGAGCTGCCACCACCACCACCAGGGAACGCTGGAGCCTTTGCTGCCGAGCAGTTGATTGGTGGGTGGTTTGGCCTCCTGGAATACTGCCGATCAGCTGTTCTAGGCGGTGGGGATTGCCACTGATCACTGCTGTTCGCTGCCACTGCAGATTGCTGCTGGCTATCACCACTTCCCCTGCCGCAATATTCGCTCTATAAAACACAGGCATTTCCACCCACTTTTTGGGCAGACGGAAAAGTATGTCTTATAGTGTGAAAAATACGGTATATGATCATGCCTTTTGTCCTGGCATCTATTCCAGTTTCTTTCCTTCTGAATACAATTATTTGAGATTGGATCTGACTAAAACAAAATAAAATGAAAGTTTGCTTTTTGCAAGAAATGATACTTGTTTCAACCTAAAATTGTGCTTGCAACCAGTTTCAATTCCAATATTTTCTTTTGCTAATACTGTTAGTAAGACATTTCCCCATTTCACATCCATGCATTTGATTTTTAAAGTAAACAATTCTGAACTTGTCTCTTTTAAAATTCATCGTTTGGTTTTATTTTATTATACCAATTTTGTTTCTGCTGATTTCTTATTCCTTGCATCTTTCAGCTTTCCTGCTAATATTTTTCTACATTTTAGTACCCATCTCCTTAAGCAAAATGATGCTGTCTACACTTTAAGAATATAAGCCAGTTGATCCTGCTTAACTGTGTGCTCTTTGAATTACATGGGATTTTATCAGCTAATCAGTTAGCTAATGAGAAGAATGGTATAAGATTTAGAAATAGTTTTCTTAGTTGTCTTTTGTCAATCATTGGGAAAATAAAAATATGTTCTAGAATAGCGGTTCCCCATCTTTCCACCTTGGCCTGGCACAGAGTAAGTGTATGAGAGTGGCAGGTGCCCATGTCCTCCACTAGTACGAATGGAGACAGAGGGCACTTAAACTCACACACAAAGTTACACTTGTGTGAGCACAACTTCACCGCGCACACTTGTCCATTGCTAGTGTGGCCTGGTTTCGAACAAGCCCCTAGTAGTGGGCTGGGGGGTTGGGGACCTCTGTGCTAGAAGTTCTGATTACATCAGAGTTTTTTGTGATTGTTATGGTGCCGCTGTGAGCAGAGCAAAATCATTCTTTTATTATAAGAGTAACCTTTAAGGGATCTATAGGACATTGAACTTCCAGAGGGGAAAAAAATGGAGGACTGAAGACAGCTTTGCTTTTAGTGGAGCCAATAATCGCAGCAGAACAAGGTGCCAGCAACCAGATTGGCATCTTGAAATTCCTCTCTGGATAAAGATGAGGTCCTGGGATTACCCACAAGTACTCCATACAGAACCACCCTGTGAAGATACTATAAAACAGCTTCTGACAGGTTTTATTGCTGTGGAAACTAAGGGAAAGTCAGCTTTGCCTAAGCCGTGGTTTGGAGCCTTCATTGTGTTTAACCACTTTTCTGGAAATCACTTGTTAACTATTTTTTTGATATTAAGAACCTTCAGAACAACAGATTTCATTATAATGGGTGATTCTCCTTCTGTTCTCAGCTAAAAAAGTTTCATATGCATTTAAGGACTTAGCTTTCTTTTTGCTTTGAAATAAACAGCAAAAGGGTGATTAAAGAGTGATTTTTGGAAAATTATAAACAGACTAAGGGCCACATGGATTGGAAATAAGATTCTAAAATTAATTATAAGAATCATTCCTGTGGGTTATTTAAAATCCCATTAAACATATATGAAGATTTCTAATCTAAAAGGTAAGAAATCTTCCTGTGGGAATTTTTTTCTTTAATTTTTTTCTCTCTGTATTTTTTTCTTTTATATTTTCCTTGATTTCTGTTTGTGTGTTATCTTTATGTCTGCCAATTTTAATATAAATTATTAAAATAAGCTATTTATAGGACATTAATTGTATAGTGTGTTAAATATTGGGTTTAGGTGTTTAATATGTTTAATAAAACTGAGCTACTTGTGGGATTATTTTATCTCAAGAACACCTGCCTACCCCACAGACTCCCATGGGGCAGGCATATTCCAGGTTCCCACATTTAAATATTATATTGTCTTATGGAAGTTAGGAAACGTGTTTTCAATGGCTGTCTCTGTATTCTGGAACAAGCTACCTCTGATATATCAATTACTTGCCTTTAGGAAAGCCATTAAAAAAGCTGCTTTTTGATAATGAAATAACCAAAATATATTCCACTAAACACCATCCAAGTGCCAGCTGGATGGTGTTTAGTGGAATCTCTTCTGGTTATTTCATTATCAAGTTTGGCTGCCATTTTGCATGCTATGTTTTATGTTGTAGGTTGCTCTTTTTTTTAATGTTGTGTTTTTGTCGTTACTGTATACTTTTGTTTACGCTAACCAGAATCTAGAATCCCAGTTTGAGTTGGGTGGGCTTATAAATGCATTGAATAAATAAGTAAAATGTTTTTATATTCATGTAAGCTGTCTTGAGTCACCATGTGCGAATAGGTGGCAGTATAAATTTTCTGAAATAAATATATAAAACAAAATAGTATTGCTATTGAAACAGATATTTTAAAGAGATAATTGGTTTCATCAACGGAGATAATTCAGTCCATGGTCATTATACTGGCTTCACATATTTGTATATGCTTGCCTAATTCATGGTGTTTCTTCAGACTCCTTTTATGTTCTGCCATAAAATAGTATAGTATTGAAAGGAATCATGCAGGTAGTTTAGTATGATTGCTCTCCATATAGCTCTTGATCCATTACTTGACTGTCAGTGTTGCTGTTTTCTCTCAGTGGGTGTAGTATTGTCTGTTTCTAGGCTTCTTCCTGAGGGTGAGATGAGCAAGAAGCTTTGTGCCCCTTTTGGTCACAGCTAAGTCTAACCTAGGTTTAATAAGCAGCAAGCAAGAGCTATCTGGTTATATTTATCTTTCCCCATTCCTAGCCTAGGTGTGGTGCCAACAATGATGATTAGTAGAGTAGCAGTTACTGCTGCTGAAAATTGTTCTATTTTTAGCTTTTCCATAACTGAGAGGCAGAGTAATTTTTTACCAGCATGTGTTCTTTTAGAATGATATGGCTGAGGCTGTTGGTTTCCTCTTTCAGCACAGGAAGCCAAAGCCAGATTCAGTAGAATTCCTAAGTAAATATGGAAGTGGGGAGGAAGGAGTTTCTCTCATGCGAAAAATGACAGAAGCAGATTTTAGCATTACTGGCTAACCTTGATATTTGGCATATGGCTTGTGTGGCTAAATTATAGGTAGTCTTCAACTTAGTACCACACTTGGAACTGGAATCTTCGCCGCTAAGTCACGCAGCCGTTAAATGAGCGTGCCTGTTTTTATGTCAGTTTTTGCAAGGGTCATTAATTGGATCTAGCTTCCCCATTAACTTTGCCGAAGCCGTCTGGGAAGATCACAAATGCAGACAGCAATTTATTAAGCTAATCATTGTTTTTCTTTTTCAGGAAAAATGTTAGCTGCTGATGAATTTTCGGTAAGTGGTCCATTCTCTCAGCCTCATCAAGTGTAAACAGTTTGTAACAAGTAATGAAAAGAATTGTTGCTTTTTATAGAGAAAATCTCACTATAGTATGTTAAATTTAAGTGAAAAGTAAGTTTTTATGAGTTTTCATAAAGTGAGGTTTTTATAAGCACTAAATAAGTTTGTTTCAAATTTGAAACAAATCATCACATTTTGGAAGTTCTGCTGTAGCTGTAGCTGTTCTTTCCAAAGAAGATTTGAAATACAGGTAGTCCTTGGTTAATGACTTCTCATCCAGGTAATCAAAAGATCCATTCTTCCAAAAATACACACACATCCCTTCCATCATCTATCCTTCTCTGTCTCCTCCCTGTCCCCTCCCCTTAGATTTATGTATTTATGTTTCCTATTTCTGAACCACCCATCTCCCTCAGTAGATGCTACTGATGTTCCAGCACAGTATACAGTATCCCACCAACCTGCCTTTCTGGCTCACCTCTGAGCTACTCATTGCCTTCCATCCCTGCCTTCAACCATTGCTGCCACTGAATTAGCCTATGCAGCTGTTCCTTATTGAGATGGTCTCAGCATCAGGTGCCCAGCATGGCATATTCCACAGGCCTGTACACACAAGCACACACGCACACACACACACACACACACACACACACACACACAGAGTTCCTCTTTCATTGTCTCCGGTTTAAACAGTAGATGAGTGAGAAGTTATTGGTCAGGCATTAATCACAAGATCCCGCCAATATTTTTGTTTTCCCAGCTGGCTGATGCTCTACCAGAGAGTTCTCCTGCCAAGAGTTCCTCTGTGGGCAATACGAAGCCACCTCAACAGCCCAGTCAGCCTCCACAAGCCTGGCCAACCTCTAGTCCCTGGAATAATGCCCCAAGTGCTCCTCCCGCAGCTCCATCCGGTTTGCCTCCTAGCTCATCGACTTCCAACGTGCCTTTTGGACCGCCACCAACAGGAATGTATCCTTCCCTCCCCCCTGGGGCACCAGTTCCTTTTCCTCCTCCTGGTTCTACTTGTCCTCCAGGTGCTCCATATCCACCCCCTGGTCCTGCCCCACCAGGGCAATATCCACCACCAAACATGCCCTTCCCAGAGATTCCAAGGCCATATGGGGGTCCCACCGAACCAGGTGCTCCCCCTGCTGCTGTTGGAGCATGGGGATCCATGCCCACTGGAGGTTGGGGAGCCTCAGTTGGGGGACAGTATCCTGCACCTAGTGTGCCATATCCACCTCCAGGGCCATATTCCACTCCCACTCAGACTCCAGGGGCTGCTCCTACAGTGCCTTGGGGTGCTGTCCCCCCAGGACCATGGGGACCTTCGCCTCCTGGCCCATATCCTCCGCCAACAGGATCCTATCCAGCTCCAGGGATGTACCCAACGCCACCTAATCCTTACCAAGTGCCACCTGCGCCTGCTGGAGCACCATCCATACCTGGTGGCCCTCATGTAAGTAAGAGTTTCCTCAGTTATGGTGCAGCTAAAACTTCAGAGGCAAAGGAGTCTAGTAATCAGATTCATGCCCATTTGATGTAGTTTTGATGTAATTTGTCTAAGGAGCCTTGGTTGATTGCAAAATGTATCAAGGGTGCACAGTGTTTATATGGCAAATTAAACTTCACAATTGCCTTATACCATATCTTGAAACTGGGTGTTTCCAGGGAAAGACTAATATCTGTGAATAAAATGGCTACCCTTGTTGTTTAGAAATTTTCATAAGAGTTCCCAGAAAACATTTTGAAAGCATAATAGCTAAAATGACTGGGTTTGATACAAATATAAAAGAATTGGTCCTACCATCAGATTTAGCAAGCTCTTAAATTGAGAGGATATTATCTTCAGCCCCTTGGAAAAGGAATATAAGGCACTGTATAAACATATGTTTAAAATAAAGTATTAATCTCATTGCATCTCTACCAACGTTAACTTACTCGAGCCTTTCCTAATATATAAGTGTAGTGAAGCAATAACCCCTTTTAATAAAATGTCATGTAAGATACTTTTGGCATTGATGTTGATAGTTCTACCCACTGTCCAGGTAAAATTGCAAACACGAATTCTTTGTGCAGTTTACTGTAACCCTTAGTGTTTGTATGTAAAATATCTGTTTTAGGGGAAAAAAAGGGAAAGATCAGGCATGGCTCTTGTTGGTAAGAAGGTTGGGATTTTCATACAAGTCTCTTCACATAGTGTGTTGTCTGGCTAGGACAAAGAGAATGCCACTGTATGAGATAGTGGCATTCTCTGGCCAACAGATGCTATTTAAAAACATGTCATTTTATTGGCTTAGTATAGGTAGTTCTTGACCTACAATTGCTACTACCACTACAATTGCTACAACCAAAATTTCCATTGCTAAGCTGTTAAGTGAATCACTGCAATTCTTAAGATAGTATCACAATTGTTAAGTGAATCTGGCTTCCCCATTGACTTTACTTTTCAGAAGGTTACAAAAGGTGATCACGTGACCCTGGGACACTGCAAACATAAATACATGCCAGTTACCAGTGTTGATCAGGTGACCATGGAGATGCTGCAGTGATCATAAGTGTGAAAAACAGTCATACTTTTTTCATTACCGTTGTGACTGCGAACGGTCACTAAACAAATGGTCGTAAATTGAGGAATACCTGTACCCGTTTTCCACAAGTCATTCTGTCACAAGGGAGTGGCATAGTGGTTCAGCGGTTAAGATGCTAGGCTTGTCAGCTGGAAAGCCGACGGCCCAGGTTCGAGACCCAAGCACCATGTGACGGGTAAGCTATCGTCTCCCCACTCGAAAGCAGTTCGAAAGCATGCAAATGCAAGTAGATAAATAGGTACCACTTCGATGAGACGGTAACTGCTCCATGCTAGCCACATGACCATAGAAATGTCTTTGGATAACACTGGCTCAGTGGCCTTGAAACAGAGATGAGCACTGCCCCCTATAGTCAATAAGTAGCAGAGTAAAATCCTGAGAGACTCTGGATCTTTTACCTTTATTCTGCCGCAAGCATCAAATGTTTCTGGGCCCATCATTGCTATTCCCCCTTGTCAGAATTTGATGTTATTTGTTTTGACCCTATGCAGGTGGTATTAGGAAGCTGCAGGTAGTTCATACAAAATGGCAATACATATCTGACAAATTCTAACTTTTCTATTTCATTTTTTTTTTCAAACTAAAAATATTCGATCTTGGAACAACAGAAACTGATTGTTTTCATGTTTATCTTTTTTTTTCTAGCCCTACCGTTGAACTTGTGGCAGGCTGATGAGGTACTGCCTCCCTACCTATTTACACAGAAAAGTTTTTAGTAATCTTTTGGAGTCTTGAAGAGCCTACCTGTCTTCTGCCAGCCCATTTGTGGTGTGAGGGAGCACTCCTCCAACGCTTATTTTGTGTGAGATGGATTAGGATAAACAACTTGACTGCCCCAGCTCTCTAATCCTTACTCTAGTCAAGATTTTATCAAGTGACATTAGCCTAATGAGTAAGGACTAACCCTGGATCAATACTACAACTATTAATTGCTGATTTAGAGGATTGGCCTGATTGACTGACCACATCTTAATTAATTTCAGTTACCCGGAGAAGCTTCTGAAGAAATGAGCTAGGCACCCTTCATCAAATTGAAGAGAAGCAAAGAACATTAATTTAAAGCAGTTCTCGGTATCAGACTTGATTTGTTCCATTTGAGAAACCTTGTAGAGATGAACATCTGATATCTGATGCTTAGTTCGTACAACAAACAACCTTGGGGAGCATCAGTTTGGTTTAGATGTTCAGGTAGTTCAAATAGATATTTCTGACATGAGTTTTCCAGCTCTATTAGCCATCATATTTGTTGTGAGCCATCTAAAAATAATCTGCTGAAGCTAAAACATTTTGGTTTTGGCTTGAGCAAGCCTCAAAACCGTTTGAAGAGTTTTCTATGCTTCACTTCTGCAAAGCAAAATTTCTTTTTTAAAAGTTCTTGCAAGAAGGAGTGGGAATGTAATCAGTATAACCTCTTCTCTGGCAGCTCCAGTGTCTTTGAAAATTAATTTGGAAACTTCACTTTCATGTGAACGTCTGGTTTCGGGATAACAAACTAAACAGGAAAGTTTCTCTACCTGAGGATGTGTTTTAATGCTCATGATTAGATTATTGCAATTTAATTAGTTAAAATGTACTTGATGAATATTGGCAGTAGATGCAGCAATCTAGATATACAGTTTTCTCACTTCAGTTTTGGGATGAACACCAAAAAGCCAGTCCCTTATGGAATTTCCCATGGAGGAAATATGCTGGATTCATTTATCACGGTTCACAAAGAATACAACATTGCATCGCTGTCTTACTGATAAGTCCATGTTTTGACAACTTTCTTCTGTGGTCTCCAGAAATTTGCTTAACACTGATGTCTAGCATTCATCATAAATTGGCTATTTTCAATCTTTAGGAAATAACTTCGCAGGAAAGATTTTTAGGGATTCCATATTCTAAGGAATAATGAACTAGTTTTAATTTAGTAAGAATGGATAAGACTTGGGCATGTGTCCTGTAGTGTTTGTGGAAATATTTATTTCCTCACATCAAATGAATTTGAAAAGGCTCTTCATTTTCTTCCCCATCCCTTCTTGTCCTAGTTTTATAAGCATTTCCCATCCCCCACCCACATTGGTTTTCTTCCTGTTTTTCCTCAACAGCTAGCTTCTCTTGAAGAATATTGCATCTTCCCATTAACTTTAAACCACAGAAATTTGTATGGGCAATGGCTTTAGAATACCAGTGATCTTTGGAAATATCAGATAATTTAGGTTAATGGTGAGAACTGCAGCTTGGCAAGTTTCAAAAGTAAGCTAAATTATTAGTTATTTTCAAGTAGCATTGAGAGCACCAGTGCTAATGAACTCTGAAGTGACATCCCATTAACTTTGTATTATCTAAAGCAGTTATTTGAGGAGAGGTATCTTTTTCTTCATTGTAGAGGCATCCCGCTTTCTCATTTTGAGTACGCTGTTGGTAAACCTATCTGTCTCTGATGACATCTTGCTCCATATATTCCAGGTTTGGACTGCATGACTGGCTTTAAAAAGGAATCCATTAAATATTAAAGTGAAGTATTGATAAGTTTCGATTGTAGAAAGATACTAAGAAGCTTTGTCGGAATTCCAGTTCAGATTTTAAAAAATTAGATATTTCCAATGTTGGCTTACCGTGAGGGGGCTGACAATATACATATACAAGTTTGTGATACTTGCCAGAACACTCTTGAAGTGAATGCAATTATATGAAATAAGAAATGTGGATCAAAATATAGAACAGGTTAGTATTATTCTGTGTTCTGCCTATTCTATAGAAATTTTAAATTTTACAAACTCTTGAAGAATGCTGAAAGACATTTTGCAAAGTTTTTCTAAGATGACAGAATACTTTTTTTTTGCTAAACCTTTGCTAAAATCAAGCTCACAGAATAGATTTGCCCTAATACATATTGATTTCTCCTCATCCTAAAGCTGAATTATGATAAAAACACAATTTTGTGTTTCTAGCTATTAGTACAAATCTACTCAAAAAGAAGTCTTATTACCTTCAGTGACTTTTATGTAAGCGGTTGTAGGGTTGGAGCTCTGTGTCAAACTGGAACCCTGCTTAAACTAGAAGTAAAAGCATTCTGGCAGGGCTTCCTCCATGTTATATCTGCTGATGGGATTGGCTGAGATTCTGGGCCCTGCACCTGAGAAAGATGGTCAGCCATTGTTCCAAATAAGGGATTGTAGCATAAGAAAACTAATGCAGCATTTTATATAGTTAACAAAACTAAATGTTACCTGTGCATATCATTCAGATTCTGCTGCATTAAGCGTTGGGAAGGCAGAAAAGATTCCATTAATAGGCCTGCAGCAGCATTTGCACCGTCCTTTGTAGCTGGAACTTTTGCAAGCCTAATAGCCGTTTGCTTGATTTTTCTTGTGGCATAATTCCACATTCAATGCCTTGGCCCCCTTTCCACAGAAATATTCATACAGAACACTTTTTCTGCCTACAAAAGATTCTGCCAGCCTTTAATTTACCTTTGATGCATCACATAGATGCTGGTGGCAAAGATGACTATAAGAAACTGCAGAGGCAGTAAAATAGTGATTGTAACTGACACAGTTCTGTCCTTGTATCAAGACATTTGAGGCTAGCCTGTAAGTTGCATAGTGTGATGACACCATCCTGTGCACATTATTTGCCTTTCCACATCCCCTTTACCTGGCTGGAAATCCTTTAGTGTATTGTCCAAGAAGAGAACACACACACACACACACACACACACACACACACACACATTATATATATTTAAAAACGGGCAAGCTCTGTGGCTCAAAACCCAATTAAAACTAAGCTTGCAAGTCTTGATGGAGGTTCCGCATCTCTGCTTATCTTATTCCTTCATGTTAAGAAGTTTTTCCTTGCCATATGGAGATACTATTCCTCTAACAATGGAAGACTCCCTTTCAGAAAGCAATTGTAGTTTGACGCTGTGTAGTAAAACCTTTTTAACCCTCCTGTCTCATGTGTGAGTGATTTGGGGCATGATGCTTGTTATGCAATGAAATTTGTATTGTTTATTGTGTTGCTTGTGAGCTAAAACTGCTGAGAAGTTTGGGATGGGTTGTTTGGCTTGTGTTTCTGGGATGTTTATTTAACTGCTTTTGTTTATGACATGGAATTATTAAGCAATCACACTTTTGAAGTTTAGACCATATCACCTGCTGCTGTATTTTTTTTCTTTATAGATGACAAATATTTACTGTATGATGGTAGCGAAGAGGCTTTAAATACAGGATTTGATATTTTTTGAAAATGGTGTTATTTTTTTGTATACACTTAGACATTTAACATATTTCAAAATGAGACTGTACACAATACACTTCATATTTCAGTTGCTTGCCTCTATAACAAAAGTTTTTACCAATACTTACAAAGTGATTTTAATACACTTTGATTGTTGAAACATCACAAAAGATTCTGGGTAATTTATTTTGATTAGATGCTAAGAAAACAGATCTTTACTACCCCTCTTACTTTAATTCATTATGTTTCAAGGGGGTGGAGGAGACACAGATATTATAGGGGCATCCAATTCAAGTTGACAAATTCAGTTTTTCCAATTCAATAAAAGATATAACTTTAGACTAAAATGGGGGGAAACACCAAAACATTTTAAGCTGTTTTACTTTTTGGCAGCACAAGGACAAATAATGGACCCTTTAGAGAAAATTAATCAGCAAAATTTAATCTAGAAATATTCTCCCTATACTACATCTTTTTAGGGAAGAAATAATGGCAATACAGTTCCAGATTATCCTTCAATCCTATAGTTATTTTGTGCTGTACCAATACAAAAAATGTTCAACTTAAATACTTTTTCTGATCCCTAACAATTAAAAAAGTTTCTACTAAAGAGTAAGGCGTGGGCTATGTCCTCTTCTAGTTTAAACAATTCTGAAAATTGCTGAAGCTCTTTGGGACAACATGATCTGGATGGGTGAATTTGAATACTATATAGCAGGGCTGTCAAACTCCTGCCCATGGGTCAGAAGCATCACATGTTGGCCACGCCTGGTTTAGTGAAAGGGGAAAAAGTACTGAAACATCACGCCACCATGATGACATGAGTTTGACACTCCTGCTGTAGAGTAACTCTTAAAACAGAATATGGAACATAAGCTGCATTTTTTTTAAATCCCTTGAATTAGTCATAACCTGATCCCACAAGTTCTCAGAGAAGATAAGGGATCAGGATGAGTCAGAACCAGCATTCAAGAAAGGTTGAATACTGGTTGAGCCCATGCCTATCCAAGGCAAGATACCCTGACCTTTAACCGAGGATCTCCTTCACTCAGCCCCACCAATGCATCAGCATTAAAGAGGCAGCAACCAAAAACACAATGTTGATGGCCTACAGCCAACTAGAGTCAGTAGAGTTAATCTCGAAGAAGGCTAGGGCAGATGAGAAACAGCTGTGTTTGGGTGGAGCTTGGTGCTGGGGCTGTTTAAGAAACAACTCAGCAGGCAGAGATTTTCTGAAATGATATGTACTTTTTAAAAATGTGAAGAAATATTTCCTTGCTGGCTTCTTTCTGAAATCATGACCTTTGAGCAGTCTCAGACCGCTACCTGCTTGGTATGTCTTTAACATATACAAACTAGTCATAAGTATGGATTTATGACCAGGGATAAGCCCAATAATTTGACATTTGTCAACAGATAAGCATCTCTTTGAAACCTGAACAAGCAGGAATTAAAAATGCTGCTGTGGGAGCCCCACCTGGTTGGCTGCCAGGATTTATAGTAACACTGGTTTTAATTGGTACTGTATTCTATGCGCAGTATAAGATATTTCTCCTGCATACAAGCAAACTTAAGGTTAGTTGAAATAAGTATGACTGGCCTAATGTCCCTAATGAGTTTGTTTAATGGTGGACTCAAGTAGCATCTCGATGTCAGCAGCATATAGAACAAAATTATGAGTCCTATACACATGAGCTCTGGAAAGCAGCGCTACTTACACTTGAGTTGCTGAAATCTAGCCAACTTAAAAAAAGTTGCATATGCTAAAATGTGCTAAATACGGTTCTATAGATTCCAGCTCTGTCAGATGTGTAACGATGTTTTACTGTTTATTGCTCATGTTTATATCCTTCCACAATCCAACAAGATTCTCGGTGATTTTATTGGAATATACAAACAACTAAAATATCCATGATCCATTTAACAATGCTTAATAAAGTGCAAAGTAATAGGCAGAACATTCAAACACTTTTCCAAAGGATGTTTTCAGCTGCTTTCAAGGGGGCAGCTAAAGTTGAGAGTTAATCTAAAATGTATAAGGAGGCTATTCCAGAGGTTTGGTGCTGCTATAAAAACTTGCCAAAAGCAAATCCTGAAACTGAGGAACCACTAGCTACTTCTCTCCAACAAGATCAAATTGATCAGGGCCAGTTCCAGTGGGCAAATGGTCCTAAAAATAACCTGAGCGAAACCATAAAGGCTTTATAAGTTAAAAGCTGGCATTTAAAATCCTCCAGGAGCCCAGAGAAAACCAATCCAGGGGTAGGTATCCCCATAGCAAAGGTATTGTCTCCCATCAGCAATTATGGGATAATATGGTATAACACTGGGTGGTCTTTAAAGGCAACCCCATGGAAAATGCATTGCAATAATCCACTAATATTCTGGTAGCATCCTATCTATGAATTTACTGTATTATCTATAAACCACAACTGACTGACATAAATCTACAGGTAGTCCTTGACTTAAGATCACAGTTGGGACGACAATTTCCATTGCTAACTAAGGTGAATGAGTGATTTTATAACCTTTTTTTTAACCGTGTTAAGAGACAAAGTAGTTATAAAGTGACCCATGCAGCCATTAAATGAATTAAATGAGTCAATAAATGAATCCAACTTTCCATGTGGACTGCTTGTTTGAAGATGGCTGAGAAGCAGAGGTGGCATTCAGCAGGTTCTGACCAGTTCTGGAGAACCGGTAGCAGAATTTTTGAGTAGTTCAGAGAACCGGCAAATACCACCTCTGACTGGCCCCGTCCCCATCTATTCTCTGCCTCCTAAGTCCCAGCTGATTGGCTGGGTCTTCTTTTGTTGCTCTGCACAGGAGAACGGAGCTAGAAAGCAGGTTAGTAGGGTGGGGAGGGAATAGGATTTTGCAGTAACCTTCCCCTGGAGTGTGGTGGGAATGGAGATTTTACAGTCTCCTTCCCCTACCACGCCCACCAATCCACTCCCACAAGGTTGCAAATGGCAATCACGACCCCGGAATGCTGCCACTTGTCATAAATAGATGCTGGCTGCCAAGCAGCTGAATTTCAATCACGTGACCATAGGGATGCTACAAAGTGTGACTTCATAAGTATCTTTTCAGTGTAACTTTGCTAACCGTAGTTGTAAAGTGAGGACCACCCATTCTTGCCTTTTAAAGTACAAGTGCAGTTTCATGGTTCAGCCAGAAGAGAGCGCTCATTTGCAACAAACTTCCCATTTCACTGTGTTCGTTATGAAAGGATGTCCCACAGAAGAGTATTAATATACTGTTGTTCGTTCTATGTCCAGCCCATGGAAATATAAGTCAGTTTCCTAATAGCAAGAGGAATCTGAAATGCAAATAGTTTCCCTGTGGGGTAATTCCTTTTTTTTTCATTGAGAATATTCAATACAAGCTGGGCGGCCATCAGGCTTTAATTGGGATTCCAGCAATGGGCAAGGACTTCGACTGAATGGCCTAGCCCTAGATGATTCCTTCCAGTGATGTAACTGCATGAATTCCCAGCCAGTAAGGCCAATAGTTGGAGATCAGGAGAAACTGTTCCAACACAACTGGAGAGCACAAGGTGTGAAAGGCTGGAATAATGATACTAAATAAAAAGTCCTTAAGGCAGTTCAGTCAAATTGAAACAAATCATTATTTTCCCAGCTGCAATCTTTTTAACAGAGTTGGAAAGGACTTTGGAGATCTTCTAGTCCGACCTCCAGTGGTAGAGCACCCACAACTTCTGGAGGCAGGATGTTCCATTGATTAATTATTCCAGCTCAGGAAATTTCTCCTTAGTTCTAGGTTGCTTCTCTCCTTGATTAATTTCCACCCATTGCTTCTTGTCCTATCCTCAGTTGCTTTGAAGAATAGCTTGGCTCCCTCTTCTTTGTGGCAGCCCCTGAGATATTGGAACCCTGCTATTATGTCGCCCCTAGTGCTTCTCTTTGTTAGACTGGGCATACCTAGTTCCTGCAACTGTTCTTCATGTTTCAGCCTCCAGTCCCCTACTCTTCTTTGTTGCTGTTCTCTGTACTCTTTCTAGAGTCTCGCCATCTTTTTTATATTGTGACAACCAAAACTGGACACAAGATTCCCAGTGTGGTCTTGTCTGTAAAAGGAGATACTGTAATAATGCTAATCTGTTGTGGGAAGTCCCCCCTCCCCTCCTGGAAGAATGAAAGATTTTGGGAAATATTAAAAAGACAGAATATTATATTTCCCTAAAGAAGAAATAGAGAAACATGCTCTCAAAGACAGAAAGCAGCCCCCTGGTCTGTCTTAATAGCCCACAGCAGATGCCAGCACTTAAGGGATAAAGAGCTTATTGAACGAGAAAGACAAGTGTCTAGATAGCTCTATTCATAAGCAAAGCAAATACTGCAGGCAGAAATCCATTCAAGACAGGATATTTCAAAACTCCTTGGCAGAATGGTAGGGTTAGCATGCAGTCCCTCACCCAAGATCCAACACAG